CTGTTATAGCTTCCCATCCACGTTTCGCGACTGGCGTCACATCGTATCTCGTCTAAGGGACAGGCTGCGGCGCGCTCCCCTCGGCATGCTCGGCATTGGCGAGACCGAAAAGCCCATCAACCCGGCGGCGTACGTCCTGAGTCTGAAATCGAGAGAAATTGCCGATGTCTTGGACGCCGCGAAGCTTGGCAAGGTTGATGCTATCGGCCATGGCTGGTGAGCTCGTCTCGTCTCTCCTCAGTAGTGGCGGTCTCAGATACTGAACTGCCAATTACAGGGGCTGTAAGGCAATCTCACACCTCACGAGCTACCATCCCGGGCGTATCTTCGCCTACGTCTTCCTCAGCATCTCGTTCGTGCAGGTACTGGCCCCGATGAACTTCCAGGAGTTCCTGGGCTCCCTGAAGCAACAGCTCGGGTAAGACGTTCGGCTAATGGAGATTATTGAGCGATCTAGACGCGAACGAAGTCATCCAGATGCACGTGGTGGACGCGCGCCCACCTCGTCCCGCAGTTACTGACGCGTTTCGCAGACCGACTCGTTCGTCAGCGTCAGTTTTTGTACGACTCCGAGATCTGGAAGGAGCGCCTGATGTCGACGGGCGTGCTCGAGCAGAGCCTGCTCGAAAGCTTCGTCTTGCTCCGGCCGTCTTACCTGTCGGAAGAAGACGCTGTGGGGACGTTCAGACGTCGAGGCTTTGCGGTGCCAACACGCTGGTGCGAGGGCTTTGCCGCAGAGATACTGCCTGAGCGCATGTCTCTACCGGCCAGAGCGGCGATCCACTTTGCCGCGGCGGAGGATGACTGTGTTTGCCTTTCCAAGACCGGCTATGCGCCCTTTGGGCAGGAGGTGTTCAGCGGGCACGGCGTGGCGATGGAAACATACGACGCGAACCACTGACTGATTCTCTCCCATGTAGACGAGGTTGTCAGCAATCCTGGGGTGTGGATCGAAGGCACGGTGCCACGAAAGCTGACGATTAAACTAGTAGTCTCCGAGTCTGTACGTACAGTTGATGCCTTCTTTATAAATATCGCTTCCGTGTCTCAGTTCCTTGCCAGTCGTACGACGACTTGAGTCTCTATTGAACGCAGCCCAGTTGAGAGAGAAGATAATAGTAATAATCAACCCTCCGTCTCTCGAGAAGGAAGACGCTGTAGTGGTAGCATCCTTGCGGGAATCTGATTGGCCGGTACACCTACACGTAGCGCAAACCGATGAATGATGACTACTGGGAGCCCGAGGTCGAGGCTTGCCTTGTTGCAGAAAGAAGTGGAAAGGCGGATGGAGGCATTCAAGGCATGTGACAGGTGGCAATTGCGTGAAAGAAAGAGAGCAGCGTGGCGAGCTAGGGGCTGGGATCGGACACATGCACCAAGATGCACCACAGCTTAAAAACTTGAGCTCGCCCTAGATCTCTTGCGCCGGCAGCTCTTGCATTCGCAGGGGTGCGCTCGAATCTAATCAGTTATCTAATCGCAGAATCTGGCGTGATCTCGTGATCTCAGACTCTGCCGGGCTGTGTTTGGAGCAGGGAAGCCGGGCGAGAAAGTGAAAGTCCTGTCAGTCCACACGACGACTACCGGCCCTCGCGTGACCTGCCAGAGTCAGTGTCGGACATCCATGTCTTTGCAGACAACAGGGCTGCACTCACGTCCTTTCTGGCCGCGGGAACCGGTCCTGCGCAGATGCTGTCAGTCGCGGCTTGCCAGTCGGTCCGCCCATGGCTGGCCCGCTCGCCCGAGCATCGGATCCACGTGTGGTGGTGTTCAGGTCACCGCGGCGTGTACTGGAATACGGTCGTCGACAAGGACGCCGGCCTTGGAGCAGCCGAACCGTCGGGTGAGATATCCTTCGCGTACGCGAGGCAGTGTATCACGGCGGACGCGTATGCAGCTTGGCGGAAGGATATGCAGAGGCCGGCCTACCGAGGGCGTAACAGCCTGGTGCGAGATGCTGACTTCGAACGGTGCAAGCACACGTCAGCAAACTGGTTCTTGTGGACGGCGGGACGCTGCCCAACTTACCTGGCACGGCTGGTTCGGTTCACCAGTGGGCACTTCCCCCATGGGGCTTTCCGTGAGCGTTTCAATTTCGATGGGAACCGGCGATGCTGGTGTGGGATGGCCGATGTCGAGACTCGGGACCACATCTGGTTTGACTGCGATCTCTGGATTAAGAAGCACAAGCCGGCGGCGGCGTCGGGGCGAACGAAACGTCCTGAGAGCCCTGAACCTCCTCCCTCCCACCCCGCCGGGCATGAGCTCGCTCGAACACTTCCTGCAGGACTGGAGGGAGACCCCGATTGACCTTGATGATGTCGCCGAGTTCTTGCGGCTCAACCCTGTGGTGGGGACTTTCACCTGGCTGGAGCTGGTCGACCAGGCGTTGGCAGATAGGGAACAGGGCGAGGAGGACTCACTGGCGCTCCTCAAAGCTGACCTGCACACAGTGCAGCGCAAGAAAGCGTACGAGATGTGGGTTGCCACGCACCCGGGTGTAGATCCCGCCTCGTTCACCGAATCGTACGCCATCGAGGCGGCGGAGGCGGTGGGTGAATTGTTTGAAATTGATGAGACGACCCTCGCAGAATTCGGGCTCCCTGCGGCCAAGGCAAGGGAACGTCAGCGACGCGGCACGTCGGGCGCGCCGGAGGGGTGACCCAATTGGGACGCCTGCTATCTCGCACGTTAGAATATTTCGTCTTCTCTGCCCCTCTTCTTCCCTCCTTTCTTTTTCCCCTCGCTCGCCTTGTTCGGTCTAGTTGGTTCGGTATGTATTTATTAGGTGCTCATGTACCAGGTCGTACGCACTAAAAGAACGTGGATTTTATATATATAAAAAAGACTACCGGCCCTCGACAGCACACAATTAATGTTTCTCTTTGATATCTCGACCCCGACGAGCCACCATCGATGCATCACCACCTAGTTCGAGCCATGGGAGCTACCCTGGTGCGGGCGGAGCATCTGCGTTCTCACTCCCGCCGATGCCACTGCACACGCCAACGCATCCCCTGCATTAGTTCACCACGCGCACTTCAGCAGTACCATTCCCGCGATCGACTCGATGCCCTCCGAGCCGCCGTCATCCTCGCACGGCCATTCGAGAGCGCACAGTCGCGTCCCTTTGCGCTCAACACGTCTTCGAACGACAACGGGTCGAACAACGGCAGCAGCGAGAACAGCTCTCGAGCGTGAGCTCTTTCAGCTCGCACCTATCTAGCCTATCTAGCTCTCCATAGGAGTTTGAGGTGGATCCGGTCGTTGGGCTGAAGCTTCTCATTGTGTGCGTACAAACTCTTCTACGATTAGAGGACACTGACGAATGTGTACCACAGCCAGCGGCCTTCCTCACCCTACACATCACTAACTTCTGCATGACACTCTCCCCAGCAACAGCTCTTGCACGCCGCCACAAGCGCACTCCCCGCATTAATTGGGACCGCTCTGTCCCCCTCTGCGTGTCGATTTCACCTCTCCCCAGGCTGCCACCGTCCTCTCCGCTCTGGCCGAACTGGAAACAATCATCGTCGTCAACGACGCTTCGAATGGTGTGAAGATTGCACTCTCCACCCACGTTCGTGCTATCCCAGCAGCTACACAGGTGCATCCTGTCGCTTCCACTTCCAGTGTGCTCTCCGGCTATACTAGTGCTGACGCATGGACGGCCAACGCTGGCGAAATCATTGGGAACTTCATGTCCGGCTGGTCCACCTTGGTCGGCCATCCAGTCGTGTCCAAGTGGACTGTCGTTCTCCTCGGCATCAGCGTTGCCCCCAGCGGCTTCTTACTGAAGGACATTGCCGCTGGTGTCGGCTCCCGGTTGTTCGTGGCAGTGTACGCCTCGCCCTCGTGCGCGCGTACCTGAGAAGGATGTCGAGAAAGTTTGCGAGTTCCCGAGGCCCGCCATCATCATGCTGAGCATTGGGCTCGTTGTCACCACCCCATCTACCCCGGTGCTCGAGCTTGATTCTCCCTCTGCTCTTCTCGACGGTCCTGCCAGGGAGCACAAGCTATCAATCCTCAACATCCCAGTTGATCTCATCACTGTCGTCGCGAAGCTTGAGAGGGAGCATTTCCTTATCGAAGCTGTAGCCTGTGCCGAGCGTGCCCGCAACGACCCGACCTGACCCGACCGCTCGACGAAATCATCATCATATTCGAGGACGGTTCTCGCCCAGCATTTACGAGCCTATCGCTGCTTATGGACGAAGAGGTAATCCTTCTGGTCCATAATGGCAAGATCGCCGCTCACGCACTTGAGAAGATGCTTGGGGATTTCGACAGGGTGATCACGATCCGTCGTGCACTGATCTGTAAGCACGCAGATTTATTACTCAAAGATAACTCGTAGTGACCTAGCAACAGCTCGTGCTTCGAGGACCAAGACACTTGAGCAGTCGAATGTCTCCACATCATCGGTTACATGCGCATCTCACTTGGTATTGCTGGCCCTCTGAAGGTCAACGGCGAAAGGCATCCCGTTCTCATGGCCACCGCCGAGGGCGCACTCGCTGCTTCGACCTCGCACGGATGCAAGGCGCTCAATTCCGGCGAAGGTGACACTACCATTGTCACCTACGATGGCATGATCCGCGAACCTGCCATCGACCTCCCGAACAATGTGCAGGCCGCCGCCGCTCGCGTATGGATCGAGAACTCTGAGGGCCATGCCATTGCCAAGGAGGCCTTCGAGTCTACCCTCCCGCTTCGCTACGCTCCAGAGCGTCAAGTGTGCCATGGCCGGTCGCACGTTGCGCGTTCGGTTCAACGACCCGCACTGGCGACGCGATGGGTACGAATACGATCTTCGAGAGCCCCGAGGGCCTCTCGCTTCGCCAAACTCTAGAGCGTCAAGCGTGCCATGGCCGGCCGCACGCTGTATATTCGTTTCACAGCACGCATTGACGACGCGATGGGCACGAACATGGTCTCGAAAGCACGGTCATCCAGGCGCAGTAGGTGGTGGACGCGTGCCTGTCGCATCTTGCATTCACTGACGCGCTCCGCAGATTGATTCGTTCGGCAACGTCATATGTTCCGTACAATCCTGAGATTTGGAAAGACCTCCTGGCCCTGACGGGCGCGCTCGAGCAGAGTCTACTCGACAACTTCGCCTTAATCCGGCCAGCTTACCTGTCCGAGGAAGACGCGAGGAGACGTCCATGCGCAGCGGCTTTGCGGCGCCGACATTTGGCGTGCTACACCTACGACCCCAGAGCCCAAACAGACCGCCGACGCCGTCACGGTCGCAGGGCGGGGGGCGTACTCTCTGCGGGCTTCAAGCTTCGAGCTCTTTGAGCGTTCTCCGCCGAGGAAGTGCACCCCGGGCGTCGGTGTCGCTGGAAAGTTGCCAT